TGTCTGACGACTGGTAAATAATAACTTGGGCCCCATAAGAGCTGCTGGGCTGGACGACAGTAGGGTAATCCTAACCTTATCATTCGGATTTTGGGCAGCTGTGAGTAGGTAAAATGAATTAATAGTGATTAGGCTCTAGGGACCACCTCACCTTGTCTGACGACCGAAGAGACCCAGTGGTGAAAACTGGGCGGGAAGTGCTGGAAGGTCTCCCACCTAGTCTGACGACTGGTGAATCTGAGTGGTAAATAATATGGGAGAAGATATAGGTCCATCTTCCCGTGGTTCCTCCCGTAAGTACTGCTTTCAATACGAAGCAGTGCACCCAAGAGGCCTATCTATTAACACATTACACTTTCCGTAAAGCATTTTGCCTGAGGTACACAATAGTTCACCTAAAATATCTTTCCAGGGCATTTAATAATTGATCAATATATGATATATTATGGACAATTACTACATTTATTGACTGCAACGTTTCAATGAGTGTTCTCTCACCGTTATCAAGCAAATAATACAATCATAAACATTATATATAGAGAGCTAGTAACAACAACTAATAACGGATTGAAAGGGACTATCGACCGGCGGGTTCGTTTTGTCGCATTGCCCAACTTGCCGCATCGTCCCCAACTGCACAAAAACGACTTGTAAAACGAAAAAGGTTTCTGATAAAATCCAGAATGGCCAATCGAAAAAGAATTCGAAACTAGTTTTATGGTCAAATCTGGAAGAAAATAAATACCAAGTAGGCTACAAACGATCAGAACCGTAATACACAATAGATAAGATTGGTTATAACTTGCAAGAGTTATGTCCCTCTACTGCGTGCCTATAACGTTCACACACGTGCTAGACAAAATGGCAACTGAAAGTAGAAATCTTCTCAACAGTAAAACAGAATTGTCAAGCGAGGAGAAATTTCAACTTAGATGTGCCCTATAATGTGGCACTTTTAGGAGGAAATTGTACAAGTAATATTGTTAATTTCTCAGCGGCTGGTAAATGGTCAATTACGTCGTTATCGATAATTGTATCAAACTAATATGTTCTTAAATCCGCGTATAATGGACATTCAAGCATAAAATGTGCTATAACAAGAACATTAGTACAGTATTAGGTCAGTGTAAAGTAATTATGTGCTTATCAAAACAGTAGCGGTGCATTAAGATAAGACAACAATTAAATAAAACAACCAAGTTTCTTTTAAAAATGCACCCTGCCACACATGCATAATACTACAGTGAATTACAGAACAGATTTCCGAATGTATATACCAAACGACTTGTAATTGCCTATAAGCGCAATAAAAACCTTAGTAATTTTCTGGTCCGTGGTACACTCGATCCCATTGAATCCAATAATACTTGACCCCCCTCTCTATTTTCTAGCTCATTAAATACAATATATTCTAATCCTTATATATAGATGTTTATCTTTTCAGAA